ATACTTTATAATTTATCCTGTCTTTATCCATTTTTGTACACCTTGCCCAGTGTCTTAAAATGTTAGACCACTGTTTAACATATGGAGGCTTCCAACCCATGTCACCTGAAACAGCATCATTGGGGGTATACTTTCCAACTCCCATGTAAAATCTCATGGCTCGGTTCTGAACTGCTGAGATGCAGGAGAACTCACTTGTACCCCAAATAGCTGAGCCGTAATTGATGACTGACCAAACTAAAGTGTCAAACAATTTGGTAAAAATATTGTGTTGAAAGCCACCATGTGCTTTACATTACACTAGTGCTTTAGATCCATTCATTGATGAAGTGATTAGTACTCATTTTGAACACACGATAACACAATAATGCTTATTAACGAATGAGATTTAAATAGTTTTTCTATGCAAATCTATAAAATCATATGCTTTTAAATTGTCACTAATTGTAATATTTATATTTATTGGATTGCCGAAGTTTTTCTATGAATTTGCTTTTCGGTCGACTTGGATATTAAATCATATCTTCTATGTCAATATCAAAGGATGCTTCTGTAATTGAAACTTTATGTAAGAACAAATCTGCTCTTTAAATTTGGTTTGTATCAAGTTCAATGTCCTGATCATTGATAAAGTATTTTGAGTTATAAAAATATCCTCCTCCTCATCATCAATATTATTTACTAGATTGACTCAGATTTATTAAACTGGTTCCTTGAAAATCATTTTAATTTTAACCCATGTCTTTATGTTAACAATAAACCGGTCTAATATAAACAAAACAACGATATCAAGATCGACGCTTTCACGCTATTTACATCCAATATTCTCTAGTGAAAAACAGTTACCCGGAATAAATACACGGCGGAATGAAAGTACGCTTACACGACTAGGTGAGTATCGCAATAATAAGAACTCGCATTCTGATATCTTATACATATATCTGTATGCACATTTTCCAGACATTGCAGTAATTAATCTTGATTTTTGTCCATTCTTCAAACATCGCGATAATAAATGCACACAATAATTTCTGAATTTACAGTATATACAATTAAGTTGAATTGTTCAGAGAACAACTTAAGGTCTTTCCACTTCAGAATCAACTCCAATAAGCTCTGAAAGACGTGCAGAAGATACTTTATTGGAGGTTCAAGTTTGATTATTTATAAATGAGGGAGGAAATAGTGTCATTAGATTGAGTTCTTCAACCTGAATCTTTTAGGTACTTTTCAGTAAAATAAGCAAAATAATTAGTTTCAGAAGATTAACAATAACAAGCAAAAGTCAAAAATCAAAATGTAATTCTTCAAAATGACATCAATTTCAGGGTCATAGGCTAAAGAATAAAAAATCAAAAACCCAAAGTCTGCCATGTATGATCTATTAGTAATATCGTTATACAGTCTATTACAAATATTTTCTATGTATGAAACTGCTGTTAAAAGTCATCAGATCAGTTTTATTAAAATGTATGGCAGTTTGATCATGTAGCAACTAACAATTTGTGATTTTTTTTACCTATATCTGTTACAGTTTTAGAGAAATAGCGATAACAAGCAGAGATTGATATTTAAAACATGATCATGTCCATGACCTAAACCTAAATTTTCTGTTAATTGAGCAAGGACATCAAATCAAAAGACCTGCGACTCTTTTCACAAAAAGTCTTGCGATTAAAATTGATCGTAAGTTATACTGAAATGTGTATGACTTACGAGTATTTTTACTCTTAATTTTTTTTGTGAAAAGAGCCGCTGGTCTTACACAATTTATACTAAATACCGCTTACTGTGAACTAATAACAAAGAAAACAGTGTAAGGGGAGATATCTTCCAAAAAGGAGAAAAGTTATCAATAGCTTATTTTATCGAAGAATGTGAACTAACCACAATAAATTACTTCGCCGAGCGCAGCTGGATACGAATGCAGAGGTCCAATCCTGACCAGTGGGGACAAAAATGGACACAATATTCGCGCTTGATACAGGTCTGAATTTGGATTGTAATTCAATATTTGACACATTATAGGTTTCTGACACAGAATAACTGTAGTCAAAGAACTTAGAATTGGTTATATGATTTGACTTTTTAGCTTTTGTGCAATACACTATGCTGTTGCGAATTGACCTCCCCCCTCCCCCCCCCCCCCAAAAAAAAAAAAATTACCCCCCTTATTTGGTTATTATCTTGAATATTATTATAGATAGAGATAAACTGTAAACAGCAATAATGTTCAGCAAAGTAAGCTACAAATAAGTCAACATGACCAAAATGGTCAGTTGACCCCTTAAGGAGTTATTGCTCTTTTATAGTCAATTTTTAACAATTTTTCGTAAATTTTTGTTATCTTTTACAAAAATCTTCTCCTCTGAAACTACTAAGATGAATTTAACTAAAGTTGTAAACAATCATCATTAGGGTATGTAGTTTAAAAAGTGTGTTTGATGACCCCGCCCTCAAACCAAGATGGCCGACATGGCTAATAATAGTACATAGGGTAAAATGCAGTTTTTGGCTCATATATCTAAACCAAAAGCATTTCTAGCAAATCTTTCAAAAACAAAATTGTTCATTAGGTCAAGATCTATCTGCCCTTAAATTTTCAGACCATTCAGGCAACCCGTTGTTGGGTTGCTGCCCCTGAATTGGTAATTTTTAGAAATTTTTTCAGCTTTTGGTTATTATCTTGAATATTATTATAGATAGAGATAAACTGTAAAGAGCAATAATGTACAGCAATTTTGTCATGAATCCACCTGTGTCCTTTGTTTAATATGCACATAGACCAAGGTGAGCGACACAGGCTCTTTAGAGCCTCTAGTTTCCTTCCCTTAAGACATGGTCATAATCTCAGCTAAATTCAATTTACCTTATTAAATCAGCATTTTTAAAATTATTGAAAAAGTAACTTCTAAAAATGAATTGACAGCTAATCACCTCAAGACAATACAACATTTCTTTATACATAAATATTAATTTAAAAGCAGTGTAAGGGGGTAATTCAAAGTTGTGTTTGAATTACCTCCCTTTCACTGTAATTTGTACTTGCGTAATTGTCCATTAACCAGGACACCCTTGTTTTTTCTCACTTTTTGGCCCCTAATTCCTAAACGGTTTGAGCCATAACCCCCCAAAGCCAATCCTAACCATCCCTTTGTGGTATGGAAACTTGTTGTATAATTTCAGAGGGATCCATACACAGTTCAACAAGTTATTGTCATAAAACTAGAAAAATGCTTATTTGGGCCCCTTTTTGGCCCCTAATTCCTAAACTGTTGGGACCATAACCCCCAAAATCAATCCCAACCTTCCTTTTGTGGTAATAAACCTTATGTTTAAATTTCATAGATTTCTATTTACTTATACTAAAGTTAGTATAAAAACATCAGTCAGGAGAACACTTTGGTTGAAGGACATATAAACCTTGCAGTGATAATGTGTAACAATTATACCTGAGATCACCCCTGGTTTTTGGTGGGGTTTGTGTTGCAGAGTCTCAGTAGTTTTCTATGTTGTTTTTTGTGTACTGTTGTTTCTCTTTTCCTTTTTTTGCCCTGGCATTGTCAGTTTTTTTTTCGACTCATGAGTTTGAATGTCCCTTTGGTATCTTTTGCCTCTTTTTTATAGTTCTCATTATAACTGAAGAGTTCACAAGATATTATAAAAAGTTACAATTTAGCCTGATTTACTTTTGCTCTCAAATAACTAGGTTGGCCAACATGGATGTATGCCACAATGAAGATTTGAAGATCAATGAAGTTTGGTTTTACTTGCCTTACTGGTGTTGGAGAAGCAGTTTTTTCTAAAAATATTAAACTACAGAAGATACATCCTTTATAAGGGATGTTCCATAAAAACAAGCACCCTGGTAACTTGAATTTGCCACTTTTAAGTAGGTGTGAAATATATTTTCTAGTTTGTATTAAATTGTATGCAGGTCTAATAAATAGTTTGGACTCTCTTAAATTGAGTTTTACTCTGCATTTTGCGGTGTGTTTGTTAATTCCACATTGGCTAGAGGTATAGGGGGAGGGTTGAGATATCACAAAACAACACAACATGTTTAACCCAAGTCAGGAACCTCTAGCCTTTGTTAGTTTTGTGTGTTTTTTTAATTTTGTTCATTTGTATGTTTCGGATTGATTTAGTACGGCGTCCATTTCGCTGAACTAGTGTACATTATTGTTTGGAGGCAAGCTAATGACCGCCTCCGGATGCGTTGAATACCCATTAGTGTCCATGGGCTGTTTTCTGCTCTTTGGTCGAGTTGTTACCTCTTTGACACATTCCCTGTTTCCATTCTCTATTCTATGAGTGGTTACTATATTTTCAAAGTGCCTTCCCGTGCTACCATGTATGTTTAATGAAATAATCCCAAGGCATTTCTAAACAAATGTTATTCTTTAATGTTTGTGAAAATTTGTATATTTTACAAAATTGCTATATGATATTAAGATCAGTCTTTCTACATGTTTCAAAGAGAAACTTCAAGATATCCCCAGTATAGCATCTAGAGATAAAATAGTTTTGGTAAGGTCTTAACATTTCTACTGACAAAACTCAAATTATAAATATTGCCATAGTCAGAAAGCAATATGTCACAGGTGAGATAAAAGTGGTTTAAACACATGTTAATCTTCTGATCAGTTGAGGTAAATAAAATAAATGGAGAATGTGTCCATGGGACACAGATGATGCCACTGCTTGCATATAACGTTTTAAAGGGCATAACTCCAGAACGGTAAAAGTGACGCCACCCAAATTCGAATTTGATCTGAGTTTTGTGGTAATAAGCATTGTGTATAAGTTTCATAACATTTGATTGAGGCAAACTTAAGTTGGAAAACAGAAACCAATTTTAGGACGTACTGGCAACACTTAATGCCCCCTCCAGTGAAGGTGAGGGCATAAAAACCAGATGACTACAATCATATAATGGATGGTATTTCTTCATAAACCTGTTGACTACAGGAGTTAATAATTAAAAAATAACAAATTAGTCATCGTTTTATTTTTATTCAAAATTAATAAGTTTTATAACTACATCTTTCTGTAATTTGTCATTTGAAATAAAATCACAATAATAAACATCCCTATTCTGATTATTTAATATTAAAATAATTTTATTCATCAATAACATTCAACCAATTAAACTTCTCATCAACAGTTTAAAACATTAGCATAAGGATTAAGATAATTCACTTGCTAATTTTTGCATCATGAAAATATTCCCTTAAAAATCAGCAAAACGTCAGACCTATGTTTATCAGATCTTTCTATAATTTTGGTATTCTATATTGGTTGATAACTGGTGTTTTACGTCCAAGCAGCACAAAAAGGCTATATGAAAGCAAGAATATTCTATATAACAGTTGTTTATTTCAAAAACATCAAAAAATTACAACAACAAAAAAAGAAGCCATGACAAAAGAGAATTCCTCTGAAACTTTAATAAACTTGCACACCAAATATATAAACAGAAAAGGCCATACAAAACCCAAATAAAACCAAGTTAGCCTCATTTGTTAATTTACAGATTTTTTAGTGAAAGATCTAAAAAAAAATAACAAACTGTTGACACAGAGATATGTCTTACCTTTTTGTAATTTTGATAGTGTTATGCAAATATTGAATCCAAATAGTAATATTTAAACATGTAAAATATGCAAAAAATTCAAAGTCAATGAACCATGACTTCAGGTGCAGAACCAAATAACCATAGAAATGAGAAATGCCAACGCTTATAGAACGGAGTATACGAAATACCATTAACTTATCATAAGTGGTTTACATTAACCTAAACACAAATATTAACTTTTTAACTTTGCAAAAATTTCAGTTAATAATCCATGGTGAGGGGGTGGGGCCAAACAATCTCCATGGAAATGAGATGTGCCAATACTAATGCATCTACATACCAATTATCATTGACCTACCACTAGTGGTTCCCTTTAAACTGACCTAATCAAAAACTAATACATGTAAAGCAAGCAAAAATTTCAAAGTTAATTAATAGACAATGACTAAGGGTGCAGGGCAAAATAATCTCCATGGAAATGAGATGTGCCAATGCTTATACAACTGCATACCAGATATCATTGACCTAACACTAGTGGTTCCCCATAAAACTGACCTAATCACAGACTAATACATTGTTGATGCCGCTGTTGCTGCCGCCGCCGACACCGGAAACAGCATACCTAAGTCTTGCTTATTGACTCTGTCAAGACGAGACAAAAAAAATTACAAAATACATGTACATAAATATGTTCAGAATTACTGTGTATTTCAGATTTATTACAATTTTTGTGTTCTCTTTTTTTGTCATCGTTTAATAAATTTTTAACATTTAGCAGGAAAGCATGTGAAAAAAAAATGCAAACATCTTGCTCAAAAACAGTTTACAACCCACTAAGAAGACCCTTCCAATTTGAAAGACAGGGTCATTGATTTTGTCCTTTTTGCTAGGTACCAGTAATAGCATAGCTTTTGATATCCAAATGAATTAAAAATGTTCGTACAACCTACGAAACAAGAAAATTCCAAATTGTATGTGGTCATCTTGTGTAACCTTTTATTTAACCTCTTTCCTGTTTGGGTCCATTTTGTATTTGACGATGAAACAACTTATTCCAAAATGGTTCAAAATAAAATTATGACAAATAAGGAAAACAAACTTATTGTAAAGGGCTACTTATATAGATTTTTGTTCTCTAAAATCACGTGCGTAAACAACATTGCAGATCGGTTTCATTGTCATTTTTTAGAATTGTATTTTTAAGAAAACAAACTCCAATGATTATTTTGAGATTTTTATTTAACACAATGGACGATGTGTTATCATTTCTGTTTAAATATGATACAAAAATGCACATAATTTGAGGTAAATGCTACTATGCAGATGTTTTTACTAAAATTTCATGAGAATTAAATTTGGTAGAGAAGGCGGGAATAAATAAGCTGGAAATTCATTCTTTTTTCTTCTTCTGAAAATGTGAAAAATGGGACGGCTGATCTAATAAATACTATAAAAAATCTTAAGATAAATCCAGTTCCATTTATCAATTTCATTCACCATGATAGTTGGTTGGTAGGGTCATTTGGCTCATTCAAAGTATATTTGGTACAACGGTTTCAAATGAGAGAATTTCATTTCAAAGTCAGGCCTACTACAGTGGACAGACAATGAGTGTCAAGTGATCACAATAGTTCATACAAAGACCCTTAAGTCAAGGTGATCAAAACAAGAAAACTTATCAAACAAACAATTTAATACACAAAAAATGTTCACTTAAAATGACACAATCAAAGCAATCATACAAAAAATATATCTCAGTGGAATAAGGATAGACAAATCACTGATTCCTGAGTACAAGAATAAAAAAAAAATTTATTTTTCATATTTAGCATATTAACTTTATCAAAAGGCAATTTTTTTTTCACCAATAGATTAAAATTCCTAAATTTAAGCTTTGTAATAACAACAATTTGATAAACACCTTTGATAAAACTTGCTAGTATCGTTGTATTTTTGTTACCTTTTGAAACACACAAAAATCTTCAATTTTTAGACTGGGAGGAGAGTTTTTCAATTAAAACATCCAAACCTACACATTCTGTCTACCAAAATACAAAGGAACTTTTATCCTTATTTGTGTGGCTATTTTTGTAAAGGACAAGTCATATATAAGAAGTAGACTCAAATTAAACATCTATCTTAAAAAAAGTAAACAAAACCTTTAAAGGGTGACAATAGAACATCTAAATACTAATTTAATTTTCCTGTAAACATGTACATACCTCTCATTAACAGATTCAAAATAATACACAATTATTGATTATCAGGTATAAATATGGTTTACATTCAAATCACAAACAAATATTTCCAACCTTTAAAAGTTCTTCTAAACGCATGCCAAAATTATGGCAAATTTCCTTGATCAAACATTTTCATGGCTGATACATTTTGCTTCTAAACCTTTTTTTTATATATCTTTGTATTATACTACATTTGTATAAAAAATATCAAACTTAAATGCTGATAAAATGATATTCAATAAAAAGAAAAGAAAACACATTTGCCATAAACTCACATTCCGTTGAGCACATTTGGCCGAAAGTTTATACAAATTTAAATACTTCATTATGTTTCCTATTTTGGCTTACAGGATTCTCATAGTATGTGTATCTAGGCACTGCATTTGTGTTTGGCCATTCATTACATGTTAAATGATGCATTCTGATTGAACAATTATGAAAATCACTCAATGGATAATTCATTTTTTTTCTTGTTTTTTTGGCTTAAACAACAATGACCTGCTGTTTATACAAAACCTCTGTTCCGTTGGTTCTGGACCATCTGGGAAGACATGACCTAAATGTGAATCACACTGAAAAACAGAAATATGAAATGATGTTAATAACTGTGGCAATATTTTCAATAGATATCTAATACATGGTATAAGGTAGTGAAGTCATTATAAAGTCATGCATATGCTAAGATGCCATGCAAAATTAAACACATCTAATGAGGCCAAGAACAAAGTCTAGAATATGATAATGCTTAAAGATACTCATTTAGATAGATTCCAGTATTGATTAGAAAATTGTTGCCCCTTTTGAAACAAATTCAAGTATACATTTAGTAGCTGATGGGAGCTATCAATGAGTAAATATAAATTATCCCTGTGAAGAATTTCGCTAGCATTAACTGTATCCTTTTGCAATGCGAAAGCTATCTTTGTGACATCACATTATTGTGATGGATGTTAAGTGTTACTATTGAATAGAAAGTTGTAATGGCAGATATATTTGTATCTATAATGCCTTAACCAAGCTTGAGATCACATGAAACAATACACAACGCAACCCATTAATCTACAATCCATAACATCCCAAAACAAGGCTCTGTTATGCATGCTAATTAATTTGTTGTACTGACATGCATTGGGTTGTCTAAAATAAGACAGTAACCCATACAAGGCATGGTATTACAGTCGAATTAAAAAGACATTTACAAACACAGAGTACCTGGTATATTATCTATTAAGATGGATTGAATAGTGATTGATAAAGTCATAGAGATTTTATATTGAGGATTTATATAAAAATAAGAAAAATGTTAGAGAGAGAGCTAAGGGTCTACAGAAGGCAGACAGGCAGGGGAGTGTCTATAGACAATAAATGTTTATCAAAAATTATTCATCAATTCTTTTTAATTTATGCCATGACACCTGTATAGCTGTAGATGTAACATCTCAGTGGTTAATCTAGCTTTAAATAAAAACAATAAAAGAAGAGAGTTCCAATGTCCCCGGGGTTGCACATATTTTATCTATCCAAGAGCAATAACTAAAAAAAACATTTGTTTTTGTTTTTTAAAACTTATTATACATATCTTAGAGAAATGATGGCTCATTGTTGAAGGCCATACAGTTGCCTATAATTGCTTACATACACTGAATTTGAATTTTTGTGGATAGTTTTTTCATTGGCAACCATACCACATCTCCTTATTTTTATATTGAGAGCAAATACAAGGCAATTTCCAATACTTGTAATATTTTCAAGGGGCATAACTCTTAAAAATATTTGATTGGCACTGATTTTAGAACTTGTTCAAGACCTTGCTTATATAAACCTTTGATATAAATTTGATAAAAATCTGGCAAAAATTGTACACATAAGCACACAGGCTTCCAAAACAGTCATATTTGCTGGACAAATATAAATTTATCGGACATTGTCCGCCTGGGCCAAGCATGAAATGGACATCCTACATGGGTTTGCCATTTCAACGTTCATGTAATTCAGAAAAATCAACCATTTTGACTTGACCTTTTGCCTTAAAAAGCCACAATTTTCCGGTCCCAAAATTGGCAATACTCTATAGTTAAGCCCTACTATAATCCCCTCTCATTACAATCAAGGTTAATTAAGTGTCTAACAGGTGAGATTTACCTGTTATCACCTGTGTCAGGTAAACTATTTGAACCGGACATCAATCGATCTTTTTGGAAGTTATTTCTTTATCAAAATTAAAAACATTCCTGGTTTAAATCTTATTACTGTTTAGCAAAACAGATTTAGACCATCAGAAAAACTTATTTAAAACAAAAAGATTATAATTTACAAAGGTGGTAAAAAGTTTAACAGACAGAACCACGTCGATTGAAATATTAGATGTGTGCGCATGTGCACAAGTGTGATATTAATTATTTAATAATTCGTCCAAATTCATCAAAAACAATAAAAATGTCATTTATACCATTATTTTCCCTGAGAAATATTACGTGGAAAGAACTGCTTAAACTCAATAACGCTAGATAAAAATACACAGATTTTGCGCAACCGTCTCCGTTCTGCATTCTATTGTCGTCTAGTAAATATCCGGTATTGAAAAATGTGATTATCAAATAACTAAGCTGGTCCTCGACTGATTAATACACTTTGTAAAGTCAGCGAATATATGCCAATTTCGAACCATGCAATATCAATTTAATTGTTAATGTCAAAAATGGAATTTATATAAAAACTGAATATCATGTGGTTATGTCAATCTTTTGTTATGGGGTAACCTGTCTAAAGGGATAAAAAACAGGATTGAAAAAAATGTCCGGCTGTCTCAAATATCTTTTGGAAGCCCTGATAAGCACGCTTACATTGCAATTTTCCATATAATAAAACTCTTTTAAAAATAATTGTAAGGCACTGATTTTCGAACTTGTACGAGACATTGTTGATATAAACCTATGATACGCATTTCATAAAATTTGGTAAGAATGAGATACACATGAGAGTGCTAACAATTCAATTTTCCATATAATTAATATTTCAAAGGGCATAACTCGTTTAAAAAATACTTGATCGGCATTGATTATCGCACTTGTCCAAGACATTGCAGATATAAACCTATGATATGAGTTTCATTAAAATCTGGCAAGAATTGTCCACATTTGAGCGTTCACAATGCAATTTTCCATATAATAAATATTTCAAAGGGGCATAACTCTCATAACCGCCTGGAGCAGCTAGATACGACCTCAGAGGTCGAACTCTGAACAGTTGGGGCAAGTATGGACACAATATTCAAGCTTGATACAGCTCTGAATTTGGATAGTGATTAAATATTTGACACATTATAGATTTCTGACACAGAATAAATGTGGTCAGATAACTTAAATATTTGAAATGGGACATTTAATCTACTTATAAATGGTCCAATATCCAAAATCTAATTCCATGGTTAGATTCAGCATATAAAAACTAGAGGCTCTCAAGAGCCTGTGTCGCTCACCTGACTCTACTTTGGTTTTAGAAATCATGTAAAGAAAGATAAAAATCATAACAGATACCCAAATAATGATTGAGGCCAAATTTTGATTAATATTGGTCCCGTTATTTAATAAAATATCCTGGTGGCCATCTTGAACAGTAAATCGGCAACAAAGTAGCAACACTTGGTCAGCACTTCATAAGGAACATTCATGCCATGTTTGGTTTCATTCCATTCAGTGGTACTCTAAAAGAAGACATTTGTATGTATTTCCCATAGGGTCCTATGTTAAACTAAGCCCCCCCCCCCTAGCAGCCATCTTGGATGATGGATCCACTGCAAAGTAACAACACTTGGTCAGCAACTCATAAGGAACATTCATGCCATGTTTGGTTCAATTCCATTCAGTGGTTCTCTAAAAGAAGACAATTGTATGTATTTCCCATAGGGTCCTATGTTAAACTAAGTCCCCCGCTGTCGGCCATCTTGGATGATGGATCGGCTACAAAGTAACAACACTTGGTCAGCATCTCATAAGGAAGATTCATGCCATGTTTGGTTTCATTCCATTCAGTGGTTCTCTAAAAGATGACATTTGTATGTATTTCCCATAGGTCCTTTGTTAAACTAAGTCCCCTGCTGTCGGCCATCTTGGATGATGGACCGACTGCAAAGTAACAACACTTGGTCAGTACCTCATAAGGAACATTCATGCCATGTTTGGTTTCATTCCATTCAGTGGTTCGCTAAAAGAAGACATTTGTATGTATTTCTCATAGGTCCTTTGTTAAACTAAGTCATCTTGGATGATGGACCGACTGCAAAGTAACAACACTTGGTCAGCACCTCATAAGGAACATTCATGCCATGTTTGGTTTCATTCTATTCAGTGGTTCTCTAAAAGAAGACATTTGTATGTATTTCCCATAGGGTCCTATGTTAAACTAAGTCCCCCGCTGGCGGCCATCTTGGATGATGGATCGGCTACAAAGTAACAACACTTGGTCAGAACCTCATAAGGGACATTCATGCCATGTTTGGTTTCATTCCATTCAGTGGTTCTCTAAAAGAAGACATTTGTATGTATTTCCCATAGGGTCCTATGTTAAACTAAGTCCCCTGCTGGCAGCCATCTTGGATGATGGACTAACTGCAAAGTAACAACACTTGGTCAGCATCTCATAAGGAAGATTCATGCCATGTTTGGTTTCATTCCATTCAGTGGTTCTCTAAAAGAAGACATTTTTATGTATTTCCCATAGGGTCCTATGTTAAACTAAGTCCCCCGCTGGCAGACATCTTGGATGATGGATCGGCTACAAAGTAACAACATTTGGTCAGCACCTCATAAGGAACATTCATGCCGTATTTAATTTCATTCCATTCAGTGGTTCTCTAAAAGAAGACATTTGTATGTATTTCCCATAGGGTCCTACGTTAAACTAAGTTCCCCAATGGCGGCCATCTTGGATGATGGATTGGCTACAAAGTAACAACACATGGTCAGCACCTCATAAGGAACATTCATGCCATGTTTGGTTTTATTCCATTCAGTGGTTCTCTAAAAGAAGTCATTTGTATGCATTTCCCATAGGGTCCTATGTTAAACTAAGTCCCCCGCTGGCAGCCATCTTGGATGATGGATCGGCTACAAAGTAACAACACTTGGTGAGCACCTCATAAGGAACATTCATGCCATGTTTGGTTTCGTTCCATTCGGTGGTTCTCTAAAAGAAGTCATTTGTATGCATTTCCCATAGGGTCCTATGTTAAACTAAGTTCCCCGATGGCGGCCATCTTGGATGATGGATCGGCTACAAAGTAACAACACTTTGTCAGCACCTCATAAGGAAGATTCATGCCATGTTTGGTTCCATTCCATTCAGTGGTTCTCTAAAAGAAGACATTTTTATGTATTTCCCATAGGGTCCTATGTTAAACTAAGTCCCCCCCTGGCGGCCATCTTGGATGATGGATCAGCTACAAAGTAACAACATTTGGTCAGCACCTCATAAGGAACATTCATGCCGTATTTAATTTCATTCCATTCAGTGGTTCTCTAAAAGAAGACATTTGTATGTATTTCCCATAGGGTCCTATGTTAAACTAAGTTCCCCGATGGCTGCCATCTTGGATGATGGATTGGCTACAAAGTAACAACACATGGTCAGCACCTCATAAGGAACATTCATGCCATGTTTGGCTTTATTCCATTCAGTGGTTCTCTAAAAGAAGTCATTTGTATGTATTTCCCATAGGGTCCTATGTTAAACTAAGTCCCCCGCTGGCAGCCATCTGGGATGATGGATCGGCTACAAAGTAACAACACTTGGTGAGCACCTCATAAGGAACATTCATGCCATGTTTGGTTTCGTTCCATTCGGTGGTTCTCTAAAAGAAGTCATTTGTATGCATTTCCCATAGGGTCCTATGTTAAACTAAGTTCCCCGATGGCGGCCATCTTGGATGATGGATCGGCTACAAAGTAACAACACTTGGTCAGCACCTCATAAGGAACATTCATGCCATGTTTGGTTTCATTCCATTCAGTGGTTCTCTAAAAGAAGACATTTGTATGTATTTCCCATAGGGTCCTATGTTAAACTAAGTTCCCCGATGGCGGCCATCTTGGATGATGGATCAGCTTCAAAGTAACAACACATGGTCAGCACCTCATAAGGAACATTCATGCCATGTTTGGTTTTATTCCATTCAGTGGTTCTCTAAAAGAAGTCATTTGTATGCATTTCCCATAGGGTCCTATGTTAAACTAAGTCCCCCGCTGGCGGCCATCTTGGATGATGGATCAGCTACAAAGTAACAACACTTGGTGAGCACCTCATAAGGAACATTCATGCCATGTTTGGTTTCATTCCATTCAGTGGTTCTCTAAAAGAAGTCATTTGTATGCATTTCCCATAGGGTCCTATGTTAAACTAAGTCCCCCGCTGGCGGCCATCTTGGATGATGGATCGACTACAAAGTAACAACACTTGGTCAGCACCTCATAAGGAACATTCATGCCATGTTTGGTTTCATTCCATTCAGTGGTTCTCTAGAAGAAGTTCAAAATGTAAAAAGTTTACGCCGTCGACGGACGACGCCGGACGACGGACGACGGACGCCAAGTGATGAGAAAAGCTCACTTGGCCCTTTGGGCCAGGTGAGCTAAAAACCATGAATTCAAACAAAGTTTAATTTTGGACCCTTTGGACCTTAATATGGATTAATTTTAAAACAGGGCCCAAAATCAAAAATCTGAATGCACAGTTAGATTCAGCATATCATAGAACCACAAGAATTCAGTTTTGGACCTCAATGTAAACCTATTTAAAAATGTCCAAATATCCAATATAGTAATGCATGGTAAAAACCTCAAACAATTCAAGACTTTAAATTAATCCTCAATGAAATTATTTAAAAGATTTGTATTTATTTTTAATTGAAGATTTCTTGCTGTTGTGAAATACTTTGATGTTGTGCAATACTTTGCTGTTGTGCAATACTTAGTAAATCTGTTTACAAGCTAAATATAATAATTTACACACCCTGTTTGGTGTGTATCTCCTGCCATATCAGTATTTGTTGTTTCTTTATATAGATCAGAAATAATTTATGTTAGAACCAGCTTAGCCATTATTAGAAAAGTCTTGATTTCGGCCCCTATTTGGCCTCTAGTTTCTTAACAATTAAAGCCTCAATCCACAAAATCGACCCCAACATTCTGTGTGTGGTATGGATTTTCTGTGTTTTAACGCCACTTTTAAGCACCGCTTTGGGCTATTTCTTGGTAGCCAATTTTTATTGGTGAAGGAAGCTGGATATGTGGTATGGAACCTTGTGGTACGATTTCATAGAGATCCATACACTTGTACACAAGTTATTGTCCGGAAACTAGAAAAATGCCTTTTTTGGCCCCTTTTTGACCCCTAATTCCTAAAAGGTTGGAACCATAACCCCCAAAATCAATCCCAACCTTCCTTTTGTGCTATTGAATCTTGTGATTAAATTTCATAGAGATCCATTCACTTATACTTAAGTTATTGTCACTAAACCATATGTCTTCGGACGACGACTACGACCTGATAGCAATATATGAATGCAAATTTTTTGGGGTCGTATAAAAAATAAATGAAGAATGTGTCCATAGGACACAGATGATGCCCATGCTTGCATAATGTTATAAAGGGACATAACTCAAGAACGGTAAACGTAACACCACCCAAATTCGAAATTGATCTGAGTTTTGTGGTAATAAGCATTGTGTATAAGTTTCATAACATGTGGTTGAGCCAAACTAAAGTTAGAGAGCAGAAACCAATTTTTGGACGGCAGGGGCATAATAATAGATCAGCACTGTTTTTCGAACTTATCTGAGACATTGCTGATATAAACCTATGATATAAGTTTCATAAAAATCATGCAAGTTTTTACAGGTGAGAGCGCTAACAAGACCAGACGGACAGACAGATGCCCAGTATTTATATGTCCCTCGCAACGGGTTGTGCGGGAGACAAAAAACGATTCAATGTCAATAGGGGTTTCCCCTTATTTTTCCCCCAATATTATAAGAAATTGTAAAAAGTTATTTACTTTTTTACAAATGACTTCAGTTCTCATCATTCCATGACTAGTGTCAGTAACTTCTAGAATATTTGTGTTTTCTTTATTTTCTCCTCCAATTGGTGCTGTAAATGATGGCCAGCCTGTTCCTGAATCATATTTTGTTTCCGAACTGTAAAAAAACATCGATATTACTGAAAACTTAAATAAAAGTTCACAAAACTGTTATATGTGCTTCAGCAAAATCTACAGAATTATTTGGTGCTTTTTCTTTTAAAAAATATCTCCATTAGGTTGTATTTTGAACCTATATCTGATAGTGGTATAGCCCCTTGTCAGTCATTATACTGAAACTGCTCACAAAGAATTATGTCACCTGTTTATAATTTCTATAGTTAAATGCAAATGTTGAAATTTAAATGACACAGTACTTTAACATGTAATCTATACAAAGGTTTTAAAGTCAGTGTAGATACTTAGGAAGCAGAGACAAATATCTAACATGGAAATGAGATATGCCAATACTAATATAGCTGCATACAAAATATCATTGTTTTTATTATATTCAGGCTCCAAAAGTATTAAAACTTATTAGAAGGAACTTTAGGAAAGTCTTAATACATAATACTGTGTCAGATAAGAGGATGGTACTGAAGTATGAAAAGACTCTTTGAAGGCTATATTGTTCATTTGACTATTTATGTTTTATAGCCAATTGTTTGTTATATTCTTTGTGTGAGCTACATGTACAAATCACTGCAAGAGAGTTTCCTTTGTTCACTGGTAAATGAAAGAAAAGTCATAATGAAAAAAGTTACAAATTTGAAATATGTGAGAAAAAAGTCACAGAAAGAAAGCATTTGTTTTATAATTTACATTTTGATTTAAAAGATAGCAAAATTTAATATATTTAATACAAAAAGTTTATGAAACCATACATTTTCTCTGAGTTACCTATACCGTTAACACCAGAATAAATGGGATAAGGGTTGACTATATGGGCAGCTTTTTATTGTATATAAATAAATTTTCCCCTTGTTATAAAAACAAAATTTGAATTGGTCCATGTAGATGTCAAGTTTTCATAAAAATACAAGAGAGTCTACAAATGTATTACACTAATTAAGTGTCTTAATTCTACTTTTTCATGTCCTGTCAATTGTAGACTATCTGGACAGAATATAACTTTAATAACATCAGAAGAAATGAAAATGTTGAACTTAATATAAATGTTGTTTTTTTTTAATACTATTTCCCTTATTTACTACTAAAAGTTCAATATAAAGTTTAAGAAAGAGAAAATAATGAAAATTGTAGATTTAATCTTAAACAAGAATGCACACAATGTCGTGCTAAGCATACCCCTCACCCCTCATAATTCAAAGTATATATAGCATAACATTTAGTAAGTGTCTGATAGATCCAAAAATGCTCACATGTTACAACTCATCACTGATAAGATGCTGACTAAATATGAACTTATTCTGTTCAACAGTTCTTGAGAATAATGTGATGAAAAATTCTAAGTTCATTTAGCACATTGAAAAAATTCAAAGTATCTGCAAACAGGAAGTACCCAACAAATCTAAAATATGCTCACAAGTTATAACTCATCTTACACTGTGAAGCTGTTGACCAACTTTGCAAGTCTTTCTGTAAAGTAGTAGTTGAGAAAGTAAGACGAAAAATTCGTAAGGGTTCCGCAGAACCCAGTGTCTCGCCTACTTTTGCTGTTATCTATGTTTTCAGTGTGATAGGGGAATGCACATAATAGATTTACAGTTAATGAAATAAAACGTTTGAAATGTATGAAAAAAGTTATGCTTGTAAAAATGAATACAGTATGGAATCAAATCTATAGATTTATAAAAGAGTTGAAACATAAATTGATTGAATGAACAAATAATAAAGAAGATAATTTTTACATTGTTTGATGATTTATCCCTTAATTCAGACGACGACGGAATGTAGGATCGCTATGTCAACAAAAATGGGGAAAAAATTATTAAAACTTTTTCTCTAGATACTATCTTTTGATTGTAAGAAGCTTCTGTCCAAGTTTGGTAAAAATTCAGGATGGTTTATGAATCTAATAAATGTTTTAAAAACTTTAACTGCAGACTGTATGTAATGTTAACTGGAAGAAAAACTAAGTCCATTTATAAGTAATATACGGAAAAACAGAAAATAAATTTTTTACAAAATTTCCTTCTAGATACTAGCTTTTGATCATAAACAAGCTTCTGTCCAAGTTTGGTAAAATTCCTGGATAGTTTAAAAGTTATTAAAATTTAAAAAAACTTTAACCACAGAGTGAATGTAATGTTAACTGGCAGAAAAACTAAGTCCATTTATAAGTAAAATACGGAAAAACAAGATTTTTTTTTACAAAATTTACTTCTGGATACTATCTTATGATCATAAAGAAGCTTCTATCCAAGTTTGGTACAAATCCAGGATAGTTTAAGAAAGTTATTAAAATTTTAAAAACTTTAACCACAGAGTGAATGTAATGTTAACTGGCAGAAAAACTAAGTCCATTTATAAGTAAAATACAGAAAAACTGGAATTTTTTTTTTACAAAATTTACTTCTGGATACTATCTTATGATCATAAACAAGCCTCTGTCCAAGTTTGGTAGAAATCCAGGATAGTTTAAGAAAGTTATTAAAATTTCAAAAACTTTAACCACAGAGTGAATATTTGTGGACGCCACCGACGACGACACCGCTGATGCCGACGGAATGTAGGATCGCTATGTCTCGCTTTTTCGACAAAAGTCGAAGGCTCAACAAAAATAAATTAACTTCATTCAACATATTGAAAAAATTTGCTGTATCAGCAAACAGGTATGTGTGTCTAACAGATCCAAAAAGTGCTTACAATTTACAACTTACCACTGCAAAGCAGTTGACCAAGCATGAAGTCTCTGTTCAGTAGCATTTGAGAAAAGTGTGACAAAAAAATTTAAGTTCATTAAACATATATTGAAAAATTCAAAGTATTGGAAAACAGGAAGTATGAGTTCAACAGATATGAAAAGTGCTCACAACTTACTAACACCACTGTTACAGAAAATATGTGTTAAAAGAACTTACGGACAGACGATCAGATGGATGTACGGACATTGTAAATGCAATATACCCCCCCCCCTCATTTAAGTAGGGGTAAAACAAGAGGCTCTCAAGAGCCTGAATCACTCACCTATATTTCAGAGGAGAAGATTTTTAGATGTTAGCAAACTTGATGAACAAATTGTGTAAAATTGTCTTTAAAGGGCAAAAACTCCTTAAGGGGTCAATTGACAATTATGGTCATTTTAACTTTTTTGTAGATCTTACTTTGCTGAACATTATTGCTGCTTACAGTTTATATATATCTATAATAATATTCAAAATAATAACAAATAAAATGCTTCGCTGGGCGCAGCTTGATACGACCGCAGAGGTCGAACCCTGAACAGTTGGGGCAAGTATGGACACAACATTCAAGCTTGATACAGCTCTGAATTTGGATTGTGATTAAATATTTGACACAGCATAGGTTTCTGACACAGAAAGAATGTGGTCTAAGAACTTCAATTTTTTTAATTTACCTATTATGGTCCAATGTCCAAAATCAAAATACATGGTTAGATTCAGCATATCAAAGAACCCCATACATTCATTTTTTGTTGAAATCAAACAAAGTTTAATTTTGGACCCCAACTTGGACAAACTTGAAAACTGGTCCCATAATCAAAAATCTAAACACATGTTTGGATTCAGCATATCAAAGTACCCCAAATATTCAATTTTTGTTAAATTCAAACTAAGATTAATTTTGGACCCTTTGGACCTTAATGTAGACTAATTTAAAAATGGAACCCAAAATTAAAAATCTAAAAACACGGTTAGATTTGGCATATCAAAGAACCCCAAGAATTCAAATTTTGATGAAATCAAACAAAGTTTAATTTTGGACCCTTTTGACCTCAATATGAACCAATTTGATAGCGGGCCCACAAATAAAAAATCTAAATACATGGTAAGATTCAGCATATCAAAGAACGCCATATATTCAATTTTTGTTGAAATCAAACAAAGTTTAATTTTGGACCCCAATTTGCACCAACTTGAAAACTGGGCCAAAAATCTAAAATCTAAATACATGTTTAGATTCAGCATATCAAAGAACCCCATATATTCAATTTTTGTTGAAATCAAACAAAGTTTAATTTTGGACCCCAACTTTAAAACTGGGCCCATTATCAAAAATCTATACACATGTTTAGATTCAGCATATCAAAGAACCCCAAGAATTCAATTTTTGTTAAAATCAAACTAAGTTTAATTTTGGACCCTTTTGACCTCAATGTGGACAAAGTTGATAACGGGGCCCAAAAATCAAAAATCTAAATACATGGTTAGATTCAGCATATCAAAGAACCCCATATATTCAATTTTTGTTGAAATCAAACAAAGTTTAATTTTGGACCCTTTTGACCTCAATATGAACCAATTTGATAGCGGGGTCCACAAATAAAAAATCTAAATACATGGTTAGATTCAGCATATCAAAGAACCCCATAAATTCAATTTTTGTTGAAATCAAACAGTTTAATTTTGGACCCCAATTTGGACCAACTTGAAAACTGGGCCAAAAATCAAAAATCTAAATACATGTTTAGATTCAGCATATCAAAGAACCCCATATATTCAATTTTTGTTAAAATCAAACAAAGTTTAATTTTGGACCCTTTGGACCTTAATGTAGACCAATTTGAAAACTGGACCCAAAATTAAAAATCTAAATACACGGTTAGATTCAGCATAACAAATAAATTAAAGTGGTCAAAGATTTTACAAATCTAATGCGCCATACTGTCCAATTAAAGATTACTTCTTGAAATTTTCAATATTTGAAATTTGAAAAAAAAATAATATTTGAAGAATAATTCTTTTTAATTTCTGAAATCTGAAATGAGAAAAAAATGACCCCCCACAATTTCTTTAAACCCCCCCCCCCCTTTTTTCCCCCAAAAAATTCTTTCCCTCAAGATATGGTCATAATCTCAATTCAAATTTCCAATGGAGTTTGCAACCATAATTACCCATTTAAATTTACCATAGTGCTAACTTAATCTATTTTATAAAAAAATTTAAAATATAGTGTCAAATCTTTCATATGGATTTTGTTGTAAAAAAAAAAGATGCAACATTTGCAGATATTTTTACTGGTCTTCCTTTATAAATATGCATTTCTTTAAACATAATTTAAAAGCAGTGTAAGGGAAGTAACCAAAACGTTGTATTTGGATTACCTCCCTTACACTGTTTTAAATTATCTTAATTGTTCATTAACCATTACTTTATACATAATTTAAAAGCAGTGTAAGGGAGATAATTTCAATGATGTATTTGATTTATCTCCCTTACACTGCTTTAAATTATGTTTTGTACTAAAGTATTTGTCCATTAACCAGGACAACCTTGTTTTTCCCCCTTTTTTGCCCCTAATTCTTAAACGGTTTGAGCCATAACCCCCCAAAGCAAATCCTAACCATCCCTTTGTGGTATGGAAACTTGCTGTATAATTTCAGAGAGATCCATACACCGTTCCACAGTTATTGTCTGGAAACTAGAAAATGCTTATTTTTGGCCCCTAATTCCTTAACTGTTGGTACCATAACCCCCAAAATCAATCCCCACCTTCCTTTTGTGGTATTGAACCTTATGGTAAAATTTCATAGAGATTCATTCACTTAAACTAAAGTTAGAGTGCGAAAACTAATGCGTCCTTGGACAACGACGCCGGACGACGACGACGCCAACGTCATACCAATATACGACCACAAAAATTTTTTTGCGGTCGTATAAAAACTGCAAAATTTTGTTTAAACTACCAATTCGGTGGCAGCAACCCAACAATGGGTTGTTCGATTCGTCTGAAAATTTCAGGGTCGATAGATCTTGACCAATTAAACAATTTTATCCCATGTCAGATTTGCTCTAAAAGCTTTAGTTTTTGAGATATAAGCCAAAAACTGCATTTGACCCCTATGTTCTATTTTTAGCCATGGCGGCCATATTTGTCAATGGATCAAAACTTCGGAAAAAATTTATAAACTAGATACCCTAAGGAACATTTAGTTAAAGTTTGAAGGTATTTGGCCTAGTAGTTTCAGAGGAGATGATTTTTGAAATAGTTTACGACGACAGACGACGACAGACGACGGACGCCAAGTGATGGCATAAGCTAAAAAGAAGAAAAAAATGTAATTAGAAATTTAATTCAACAAATTAACTATTCAATAAGTTTTAATTAAAATTGTGACTTTAATTCCAACCTTTTTTCTTGTGACCTTTTCCATACAATCTGTTAACTAACTATACTGAACAATATTATATACATGTATCTACCTAAATAATTCCGTTCCACAACACAAACAATTGTATGTTCCTTCTTCGTAATTATTTACATAGATCCCACTAAATGGCTGAAAAACAAAATCTGAAAGTTTGAATCATTCAGTGCTGTATAATGCAAAGCCTTGGCAAAACTAATTCATCACATTGATGTTATTCATAACTAATACCAGTCTTAATGGTGCTGTGCCATCTGTGGTAAATTGGAATGAAAGCTGAGCAACTGAAAAAACTTGTTTAACCCTGTCAAACGTTCTACCTGTCCTATGTGCCTGTCTCAAGTCAGGGACCTTGTCATTGATTTTTTCCCAGTCTCTTCGTTTATCCATTTACATATTTGGTGCTACTATTCATAGCCTTGGTTATTCTTCAAGAATACATTAGATGTCTTCATGATATGAGAGCCTAGACTTCTTCAACTCATTGTTGATAACTAAACAGTAACCTCAGTCTGAATAATTGATTTTGATTGCCATATATTAACTGTTACATGTCCTATATAAGTACTACACTCTGATGTCCAACAACTACATTTACAAATGTAATGCAACATACATGTAGTATCAATAAATAACAAATTTAAGCCATCTGCCTTTGACATGTACATTTCATTCCTGTATTGCTAGGAATCATAGTTTATGGCCTAGCTCAATATGGCCCCTTTTAAATTATGTTTAATTGATAAATCATGTCAACTCAACAACACTTAGCCATTATCTTGATATTTTTTGTTAAAAAATCATGAATTCTCTAAATTCACTGCCAACATTTACCCAAAGGAATTTACTTAATATAAATCAAATAAGAAAAGTTGTCTAATTGAAAAGTATACACCATCTTCTTATTTTTATTTTGAATGAGGAAATACATGTATTTGACCACTATTTTTGGTCTTTTAACTCTTCTAACTTTAATTATTCTGTGCTTTTAACTTAACTTTTATCGATTTATTGGTCTATTGTATGTTTGACCAGTTCTTCAGTTTTGAAAAAATAAATAAAGCTCATCGGAGAACACTAGTACTGAAATCATACCTTTGCACCACCTACTTTTACCATTTGGTTCAACTTTATTAAAATTTGATTTTATTTTTCCATCTGAAAGCGGACATATTTTATATCCAATATTTTGTTAATTTACCTCAATGCATGTCCTCTCAAAAAATTGTTTTTTTCTTAAATGAATTGGTATACCTTCATCAATACTTAAATTTAACAGTTCTAATCAATGCATATGTGTGTTACCATCAAATTTTAATTGTATTTTTCACAGAGTATGATAAAGATAAAGAAGAAAAACAGCTGATGGGGGAAACTTACTGGTTCTGTAAACTTCTCCCTTGTTGTAGCATACTGTTCTGGAGTTAAACGTTTTTCCCACTCAGAATTTGGAACTGTTCTTGGATCAGCTGGGTCAATTTGTGTTGACAAAACTGAAAAGCAATAACATACTATCATATGCATCTATATTATGTATAATGATAACTACTTTTAAAATTGTCATTTATACATCCCATATTACTAAAAGTATCTAAATGGACTTTCCAGATCTCCTAAATCTTCTAAAAAATTATACATGTTACACAAGTAGGAAACTTTAGTTACTCTTCCAATCATGTCAAATAGTGTTAGGAGCAACAAACAAGAAACAAGAGTGCACTCGCTGAAATGTCTCGTCTGTTTTACTTATCATTGAATTCCTGTTGAAAGTTTTACTACACTACAAGTACCCGGTATCACATAAACTTAACATTATCAATGTTTTATGAAAATGAGGTCATGGTCAGATGAACCATCCAGACAGACATGTACACCTTACAATCAATCAATACACCAAATATAGTGGTCCTATCGCTAATAGTACCCGAGAAATAGATCAAACCACAAAATCTAAATATTGACCAATGAACCATGAAAATGAGGTCAAGTTCATATGAACCCAACCAGATAGACATGGACAACTTACAATCATTGCATAAACCAAATACAGTCCTGGAAATAAAATATATTCGGACCTGTCAATTTTTGTTAATTTTGTAATACACTATTAAAAAAAATTTGAAGAATCATCAACTCGGTCCTGTAAATGCCAAACCCCAATTTCTATGACTGCAAATATAGTTGACCTATTGCTTATAGTATCTGATGAACTGACAAGATTACGAAAACTTATCATTGACCAATTGAAAATGAAAAAGTAGTATATATATATATAGTATATACAATATTTTGGACTAGAATAGAATTCATGACATACAAAGAGACTGAGTGGACTAAACTATCTCAGCAATATTAACTTGATTGTAGGTCTTGTCTTGTTGATCTTTTTTTTTAAGTTATACATTTTGTATCTATATAGAACATAGTTTTCAAGATAAAATGCAGTTACATTACTGGTTAGTTTAAAAAAACACAGCATGTATGATCATGTGTGGCAAAATTACTTTTAAAATTAAATTACTTTTAATATTTTTCAACACCACAGTATATGTTTGAGGTAAATGTGTGGGAATTTTTGTCAATGTAGTAATTGTACCCCGGGAACTGTATATCTAAAGGGAAATGAATCTGATAGGCTTTTCAGTATAAAATTGATAAAATCTTGAACTTTACGAGACTTCATGTGATTAATGGATTTTGGTTGCGTCTGACTGAAAAAACTATCGGAACTGCTCATTAAATTAACCACATAATTCTAATCGTAAATAAATACAAGTTTTATCATAAAGTAGACATATTTTGTCATATAAAATGACCAAAATAATGGTGATTTATTTGATGTGAAGTGTTTTATAATGGTTTGTGAATATGGGTATGCAATCGGCGCCATTTTTTTATTACCCTGTTTGCATTCTGTACCCTTCAGTGATGAAATGATGTACCCTTCAGTGATGAAATGAATGCGAATATAACAAATGTGAAGTGACAGATTACAAGTTTGATACACTGGCATCACTTTAAAACTTAATTTGAATGACATTTCATTTATATTATCAGAAATTATTAGGATATTAGCGAGTACGTTTTTAACACAAGTCCGTTTCCATATCGTTTCTTTATTAACTTTGACCCGATGATGAAATCGGCTACAATTAGGTAGTGTCAAATCCCGTCAATATATATGTTCCTGTTGAACCCCACCACCACCCTCAACCACAGGCACTTGTCTCTGAATTTTTTTCCCTATATACATGATATACTTGTAGTTGTACCTTAATATATTAAGGTATATAGGGGAAAAAATTTCAGAGACAAGTACTGTAACTGCCTGTGCCCTCAACGACAAAATTTTAAGATAGATCCAATTTAAGTTCAAAAGCTTTATTTATAGACAAATATTAGTATACAGAAAACTTGAATATACTGAGAGCTATCTCAGAGTGCGTAAAGGTGACTCAGGGGTTATGGGTGGGAGGGTAACTTTAAACGCTAATAAAATACTTTAACTTTTACTTCATACGCATCACAACTGAAGAGAAACTACCGATTGTAATAACCCTCCTTTTCTCGTGTAGCAGACGAAAACCTGTGTTTACCTCGCATGCATTGTGAGGAGACATTCCATATTTTGCTCGATGATTGTAGGTTGACCATCCGTCTTGATACTATTGGCGCAACTCGACAAACAGAACGGAGTACACCTGTGAAAGACATATTTTTTATTATGCCGAAGAATGGAAAATTTTTGTGGAAAACTACCCTGAACTGGATTACTGTTGTTTTGACCTGAAAGAAATCAGTCGAATCAATACATCCAAAAACCTACTACAAAAATAACAAATACTTCACACAGTGACACACCACACAAACGGACGTAAATGTTTACAGTATTATTGATGATTATGGATTAAAGTAAGCTTATCTCATTTTTGCTTTTCTGTTTTCGAAATCTTTGTAGAGAATACAAGAATAGATTGGAATAGAATAGAACAGAATAAAATAGAATAGAATATTTTTATTTCCCAAATTACACTGTGAGCGCCCACAAAGGGCATAAAATCAGTTGACATAATTGATAATGACAACAGTGTACATGTAAATGTATATTTAGTATTTTAGTATTGGTCAGAATCAGAGCCAACAACAATATATATTATGAATGCACAAATAAATAATGAAATTACATTATATATATGCATTCGTTCTCAAATTATTTACTAGACTTAGTATCAATATTCAGACCTGATCTCCTTAATTCAAAACACTCTCCAATATAACAGCCCATTTTTTACTTTTCCATAAAATCATATTTTTAATAAGAGATACATTTTCTTGTGTTAAGAGCCATAAAAATTTGGAAGATTTATTTAAGTTTTTAAAATTATAACAAATGTTAGAAATGTATTGAAAAAGTCTTCTCTTTTGATGTCATATAGTGGACATTCTAATAAGCATTTTAGGGGAATTTACAACACATACATTGAACTTGATCATCTTGACATTTACCCAATACAGATATAGATACAGATAAGTTTATTTCCCAATCAAGGTGTTTATATGAGGTGCCCGTTGAAGGGCAGATAAGTTACAGTGCAATTATTCATAACATAACAAACAAACCTAGGATTTGTATAATGACAAATCCTTGAAACAAACTAAACAATAAAATAACATAATCTTCCTATATCTAAGACAATACGTATTGGTAATTGTAATGGTATTGATTGCATAAAAACGTTTAACTTAATCACGAAACTAGAAATATAAAAATAAGGAGATGTGGTATGATTGCCAATGAGACAACCATCCACCAAAGTTCAAATAAAGTGGATGTAAGCAATTATAGGCAACCGTACGGCCTTCAACAATGAGAAAACCCCATACCGTATGGTCGGCTATAAAAGGCCCCGACATGAAAAATATGAAACAATTCAATTGAGAAAACTAACGGCCTAATTTATAACAAAACAATTAACGAAAAACAAATATGACAGACATGAACCAAAGACAACCACTGATCTACAGGCTCCTGACTTGGGACAGACACATAAAGAATGTGGCGGCTTAAACATGTTTGCGAGCGCTCAACCTTCCCCCTAACCTGGGACAGTGGTGTAACATTACAACATAAGAACAAACTATAAAAATCTGTTGAAAAAGGCTTAACTCATCAGATGGATACAAATAGAAATAAATCTAACAGAAACACAGAGTGGACGTGGACGGGTACTTATACATCCCAAAAAACAAAAAGACACTAAGTACAGATCAGAGAGTAGTCGCAGTTACTGACAGCTAGTTCAAAACCAATAACAACTAATAAAAAAAATCATGTATCTAAGACTAAAATATCGATCAGTACACATCCAACATCCAATGGATTTAGTTTAAGGACGCCATTAGCAGTCAGAAAAAATCATGACCTTGTGCAATGCCAAACTATAGGTATCGACAGATTGTAGTACCGTGATAGTACATATGTGTAATATGGTATGGTTTTAATTTACTGATAACAAAATCAATATTTATGCCAATAAAAACAATATTCAAAGATTTAATTACAGTGTTGAATAGGTAACCTTTTAGAATTAGTTTATTTAAAGGATTGATAAGTTTACACGGATCGTTTCTAAATTTGCGGGCTCGGTTTACAATATCACCGTAAAATTTTGGATGTGCTATTCTGTTTGAAATCAGTTTTCTACAGGTACAGCCAAACTCGCAGACCAAATTTTTGTATCTATGAAAGAATTAAGTAAAGGTTTTAAGTAATTTGTTGTAACGAAATCCCTGACTTAATAATTTACTAGTAATACATAGATTACGCTAATTAAAATCCAAAACGTCACTACAGACACGAGCATAGCGAACGAATTGGGATATATAAACACCTTAAGACGATGCCAAACTAACATCACCGTCCACAAAGGGAAAATTAACAATAGGGAAAGAAAAATCACCCCTTTTGTCGTAAATTTTTGTGTAGAGTTTCTGGTGTAATACTGAAATATCTAAATCTAGGAAAGGACAGTTATTGCTGTTGATATTAGATTTATTTAAAGTAAGTAGTTCCTTTGGGTAAATTTCAGCAGTATAGTTAGAGAATTCTTGATTATTTAACGAAAAAATATCATTAAGATAACGGTAAGTATTGTTGAATTTATCAATTACATGGAATTTAGACGGTTCTTTACTGAGTTTGTCCATAAATTATGATTCATTACAGTAAAGGAACAAGTCTGCTATTAAAGGGGCACAATTGGTGCACATAGAAATACCTACAATCTGTCGATAAATTTTATTGCCGAAACGTACATAAATGTTGTCAAGGAGAAAATTTAGTTCTTTAATCTCATCACACCTCCAGTAAGTATATCTAGCATATTTACCTCTCATTAGAGAAAAAGGCTTTATATGAGTTGCAGCAAATAAATATGCAACCAGATTTATCTAACGACCATTTACTTAGATAGGAAAACTTTTGTTTGATAAGATTGTGCGGAAGTGTAGTATAAAGAGTGGAAAAGTCAAAACTGTCAACCGAATCAAAAGGACCATCAAAAGAACGTAATTTATCTGAAACATCCAAAGAATTTTTTACACTCCAAAAATGGTTAATTCCACTGTTTTCATATGTTTTATTACAAAAAATAACGATAAGTTCTTTGATAGTAGTTAAGGAATTCGTTAAAAACACAGAAAGATAAGTAGTATAGAACACTTACTAGAGGCCGAGATGAAACGATATTTTACGGGTTTTTGTGTAGTTTAGGTAACCAATACATAGTGGGGACCTTAAAATGTTCAGAGGAGGCCTTAAGTTGAGCTGTAGTAGTGACATGTTCGTATTAATTCAATCTGTGACTTTTTTACTAATTAGTATAATAGTCCCAAGTTAAATAAGTATTGGAAACATCCAGCTAGATTTGGACAAGGAGAGACAACTCCATCATTCTTGAAATTTATGATAGTTTTGACCATTTAATATACGTTTTGTTACATAGATATCGTCATTAATCATAGAATTTTTCCGAAGAAAGCTTGATAAAATTATTATATATATCATTCTGACCATTGATGAATGCCATTACAGTTTTCAAGAATAGGACAGTCCAATGAAAATAGATTTTTATCTTCTACTGGTTCTAACATAAGCTACATTATCCCTTTCTTTATTTAGGTTATGATGACTGTCTTAAAGTGGCAAATCATTTTCTTTGTTCCTCTGAGCCTATAGTTAAGTAAGGTTCAAGTCCATATACATATTTAAAATTGCCTGTATCTGTAAGAGATAAATCAGTCTTGGTAAAAATGTGTCATGGCGGACATAAATTGCTATTATAAAATGCACATGGTTACAGAATTTACTAGTATTTTTAGTCCGATGTCAGTAAATAATGTACACAGATAAAAGATAAATTTTCCGAGCTATTAATGTCCGCGTCCTTAATATTCCTAGGTAAAAATGTCCATGTCCTTCATTTCACTTCACTTTCCTTAAACTGAAAGAAATCATTTACATGTAAACAATGGAATGTTTAATTGTTAAGTTTCAATATGTTTTTAACAGTTGTACATCAATCTTTCATGATTTTATCAAAATATAAGTGATTTTCAAAACAATTACACTGGACTTTTTTTGCTAGGAAAATTGATATTACAGACTTTTATGTTTTTTATTTCTTAAAATTTTTTGTTTCTTTATTTTACTATTGAAGTAATAATTATACAAATTTTATTTAATATTAAGGAATGTCTTACTCTCAAAAATTGAAATTTTGGAGGGACTTTTTACTTATAATCAAATGTTAACAAGGACTTTTTTACTAGGATATTATTTTTTTCATCATTCAAATATTTTATACTTTTATGATTTAGTCATTTTCTGAAAAGTTCGATACAAATTTGAAAATTGTCCTAGATATGCATGAAAAACTCCATGACCATAATTTACTAGAAAAGTATGTCCCTGGAAATTTTTACTAGGAAAATAAGTGCCAGACATACTTTACTACCTATAGGGTTGTAAAAGCGTTGACCGTCCGCACATTTTTAGAATGAAGCGCGGAATGAAGCGCTTCCGCGCTTCATACAAAATGTACTTCGGTCAACGCTTTTACACCCTAATAAATTTACAAAAAGAAGCATTCAGTTCTTAGGTAATTGGTGATTTAAACTGTGTACCTGAGTGGACCATATCAAGTGAAACTCAACTGTTTGTTAATTTTATCATCTTCTGCAGGGACGAAAAAAAGTGCACTGCAAAATCCAGTTAAGTTTTAAATTACAATGCAATTGAATTTTATTCATCTAGGGCATGCTATGCCTTAAAACTTTTCCAGAAGCACAGGTTTGTCTGTACTCAGAGTAAATGTTGAGGTGAAAACGCAGCCATTTTAACCAAAGGGTCCACATGAACCTTAACAGCCAAAGTTTTTGATCAACAAATTAACCAATCACCGAACAAGACAAGACAAGACAATTTTATTCTTTAAAACCACTGTAAAAATATTGGTACAAAGAATGAAATAATAATACATAGTATACAAAATAAATTGTGCACATGACAAGATATGCATGTTACAATTACTATACAAGATCATTTAGTTATTATAATAGAAAAACAGATAGACAAAGGCTAACCAGGAAGACCTGCTAATGAATTTATAACCCTTATAAATTTACATATATTTTTTAGCTTATTTCTATGTGTTGTTTGTAATAATTTACAAAATTTAATTACATTTACTCTGTTACAATAACAATTATCCAAAAACAGTTTTCTTGAGGCGTCTAGGG